ATTAATTACATTATAATATTCCTGCATTCAAACTGAAGCTCAGCTTTATTTAAATCCACTTAGTTTGAGCCTGGGTGATCACACGAAAATAAAATAAATTTAGATTCTTTAAAATCCAGCCATTTTTTAAATATATTATTTACCACCGTGGATACAAAGAGTTGTCTGTCTGGTATGTCACTTTCATGCGGTTAAAACAGCAAATGTTTACATTTGGAATGTAACTATTTAAAAATGAGATACTATTTGAGGAAAGTAATAATTTTCACTCTTTGCTATAAGGAAAAAGTTTAAAACACGTTCTGGGGATACAGTACGACTAATGGATCTTCTTGAAGAGGGACTGAAGCGATCAATGGATAAATTGAAGGAAAAAGAAAGAGATAAGGTAATGGGTTCCTTTTTTCTTGACTCCAACATTCTGCTATCTTGCCTTTATGAAGAAGCATGTCCTGCACTTGGTATTTCCTTTTGTTTAATTAACCTTATATTTTGGCATGGAATTTTCTGTTTTGCTAATTGTATTCCCTGTTGAGCAGTGAACACATTACTGAGGTGTCCAGTCTATCATGGATACTTTGTTTCACAGTGCCTAAAACCAGCATTGTTATTTTATTGGATAGGGAAGAGAAACAGGATCTACTGAAGTACTCTTGGGGAATAGTTCTGTTGCATTCAGAGATGAATTTTTGCTCCAGTCTGTAGACTCTTGTATTCTCTTAGCTTTCCAGCAGATGGCAGAAGAACATAGAATGAAGGATAGATAGGACCACTTGTGTATTGATTGTATTGGTGAGGGACAGTTCATTTCATTGCTAAGAAATGCTTTGTACCTTACCACAAGCAGAATGATAGCTATAACTTTCATAGGTGGCCTGAAGTTTTTTGCGTATATAAATAAAACCTCTGCCAACATCATTCAGCTGTTTTAGGGAATTTATTTAAGCCACTTGTAGAGCTGAGCTGAGCTGAGCTGTGTGGTTGGAAACTTTTTGAGACTGCAGTCTCTGAGTAACTACATCTTCAAATAGTGCCTGCAGATGATACAGGGTTGCTCATTTATGAAATTTCATTGGATGCTACTTGACCTACCGTTTTTTGAGAAATATTCCTGCAGAGTATCTCTATTCCAGGATCACTCTGTAGATATGGCACGTTGAAGAAGGGTAGGCAACTGGGTGCTTTTGTGCAGCTCCTGAACTTCTTATATTTCTATTTCTGTTTTATCTAATCTTTTCAAGACTTTGTAGGTTGTATATGACTGAAACACTGTATTTGTTCAATGGTTTTGTGTTTTATCTTGCTGGTCGTTGATGGTAATTAAATAAATGCATTCGTTCAGTTGAAAAAAAATTTCTTTTTTTTAACAGGTTCTTACAGCTGAAGAATTAAAGGCAGCCCAGACCTCAGTTGCCTTTGGCTGCATTAAATATGCAGACCTGTCTCATCATAGAATAAATGATTATATTTTCTCTTTTGATAAGATGCTTGATGATAGAGGAAATACTGCTGCTTATTTACTTTATGCCTTCACTCGAATCAGGTAGGGAGAAAAGTATTATCCTAAGTTCTTACATTTTTGCAGTTACGATACATGTATGGGACAATTAATGCCTTGCTCTATATTTTTTTTAAAAAACTCTTTTAGTTAATAATCATTATTTTCAGAATATTGGGGCTATGCTGATGTTCCCTAAACCAGCTAATTTATTATCTATAAAAATGGCATTTAACTGTCAGTACATTTAACAATCTTGGTTTCACAATCTATAGCTGTGGTTATACATAGCACTAAATATTTATTTTAATGCCCAAGATAGCTAACAAAAATTAAACGAAGTAAATTTTTAACTTAAAACTAAGCATTAAAAGCACGGTACAGCCCATTCAGGAATATATTTTGCTTTTAGAGCAGGACTTGGTAATTTGATAACCTAATCTTGGACACTCTTACATGGTATCCATAGTGACAGGAAAAATATATATTATGGTTCTGCAGTGATTGGTGTTCAATAGGGAACAGCTGTTTGGGGAATGTGTTGAACCTGTTGGCACCTCCTTAAATCAAATGTACCTTTTCCTGCTCACTTGGCATAGGCTAAAGAAAACATGTGGCTTCTTTTAAGGAATTTTTAATATGTATTAATGAGATCTTGCATAAGAACTCAAGAGAATTCAGGAGATGATGCTTAGTACTTTAGTCTCTTTTAGTTTTCTTAATAGGAGGAGAGCAACTGATGCCTGAATCAGTGGCTGATGTAGTCTACATTGTTTTTACATTGACTCAGGACTTATAGCCCTTTCAAAGTGTGTCTTTCAAGATGCAACATTGCAACCAATCACCTTAGGGGAAGGTGATTGAGAAGGTGGTTGTGCAGCAGCTTCAGAGGATCTTGAATGAAGCGGATTATCTGGATCCTTTTCAGTCAGGGTTCAGACTGGGTATGGTACAGAAACAGCATTGGTTGCGCTTTTGGATGATCTCTGGCATGGGCGGGATGGTGGTTGCGTGTCCATCCTTGCTTTACTTGACCTCTCAGTGGCTTTCAATACCATTGACCATGGTATCCTTCTGGACCGACTCAGAGAATTGGGGGTGGGTGGCATGGTATTGTGCTGGTTCACCTCCTTCCTCCAGGGTCAGTTCCAGTCAGTGGTTATTGGGAAGGAGAGATCCCACCCCCACCCCCTGCTGTACAGGGTGTTGCAGGGGTCGGAGCTCTCACCTCTCCTATTTAACATGAGACTGCTGGGTGAGCTCATCCGTCGCCATGGGGCGAGGTATCATCAGTACACTGATACCCAATTGTACATCTCTGCCCCAGCGACTTAAGCGATGCTGTGGACGTCCTATCTCAGTGTCTGGAGGCTTTGAGGATCTGGATGGGGAACCACAGGCTTCAACTGAACCCTGGCAAGATTGAGCGGCTTTGGGTTTTGAGCCCCTCTCATTTTAGGATTTTACCATCTTTGGTACTGGATGGGTCGCACTGCCCCGAATAGACCCTGTGCACAATCTGGGGGTCCTCCTGGACTCCCAACTTCTGCAGTTGTGGCTAGGAGGGCCTTTGCACAACTTCGTATTGTGCGCCAGTTGCGCCCATTCCTAGATAAGAGGACCTACTCATGGTCACTCATGCCCTAGTCACCTCCTGATTAGACTACTGCAATGCGCTGTACATGGGTCTGCCCCTGAAGAGTATCCGGAAGGTTCAGCTGGTACAAAATGCAACGGCACAAGCAGTTATGTGTGTGTTAGTAGGACACACATTACACCTCTGCTTCGCAAGCTGCATGGACCAGTTTGTTTCCGGGTCCAGTTCAAGGTTCTGGTGTTGACCTTTAAAGCCCTTTGTGGCATGGGGTGGGCTATCTGAGGGACCACCTCTCCCTGATTTCATCTGTCCATCCTACCAGATCCAGCAGACAGGGCATGTTACGGGTTCCGTCACCTAGGGAGCTACATTTGGTGGGCCCCAGATGGCAGGCCTTTTCTGCTGTAGTGCCTGCGCTGTGGAATCTTCTCCCCCTTGAGGTGAGGTTGACCTCGTCATTGTTGAGCTTCCAGAGGTCCCTTAAGACTTGGTTATGCCGGAAGGCCTGGGGACCCCAGGGGACGGGGAAATTAGTGATGTGGCTCCCTTATTTTTAACATTCTTTTATTCTGTTTTATTTTGCTTTTTATATTTTAATGTAATTATTGACTGTTTTTAGCTTTGTTGTACACCACCCGGAGTTGCCTGTGGTGAGATGGGTGGCTATATAAATTGGTTTAATAAATAAATAATAAAAACCATATTTTTAGTAGTAGTATTTTTAACAATATTGTCAGAATGATGCACAATAGCTAGCCATCTTTTTGGAGTAAGTCAGTAATTTTTGGTGTGTCTTTGTTCTTGTGCTACTTAGGTTTTTTTTTTTTTGTCTGAATAAAGATTTTTTCTAGAGAAACAAGGCTTGATCCCTTGGAATCTAATCTAAGGTTTATTTCTGTGATAGATCTATAGCAAGACTGGCCAATATCAATGAAGATAAACTACAGAAGGCAGCTAGAACAACAGAGATAATATTGGATCATGAAAAAGAATGGAGACTAGGCAAATGCATCTTGAGATTTCCTGAGATCATCCAAAAGTGCCTGGATGACCTTTTACTGCACACACTCTGTGACTACCTCTATGAACTAGCCACCACATTTACCGAATTCTACGATAACTGCTATTGTGTAGAAAAAGATAGACAAACTGGTGAGTTATTATTTTGAAAGTAAAGTGGGACAATTGTGTGGAGAATATCAAGGCCCCAAAACATTGACAACTTAATAAGAGATATAAAGATCTCTGAAATCTTTCCATCAAAACCATACTGGATGGAAGATCATACTGAAAGAACCTCTGAGACTTTTTATGTTATATATATTGTCAAGTTTTTCTATTAAAATAAAAGGCTAGAAAATATGGAGAATGAATAATTTCTTTCAAGTAAAGCCCTGCCACCATTGCAAAATAAATACATGGTTGTATAGATTGCTGGACTTGAATTATAGTTGCATAGGATCTCTTATGGATGCAAAACCTTGGACAGAATTATCACAGAAGTGAAGTACTAAAGTGCCTGTTCATAATCTTACTGTGTGATAGATTGACTGGAACTGATTATAACTGCCTAAATAATGTTGTATTACTGAACCTGTCAAAGAAGCAACAATAGGTATTTATCTGTGAAAGTGTTGCATCTGATATTTATATTATTTTGTGCTGTGTCTGTTTCTTATCTAGGTGAAATAGTGAATGTGAACATGTGGCGAATGCTCCTGTGTGAAGCAACAGCTGCTATAATGGCCAAAGGTTTTGACATCTTGGGAATCAAGCCTGTCCAAAAAATGTAATAAAAATCACTTTTAAAAATTGTTAGAAATGAAAGATAAACAATTATTATTATTTTTTTTTGGCCAGGAGTAGAATTCAATAAAAATAAGATACTCAGATTTGATTTTCTTTCTTTCCATGCTAAAAGTGCTTGCCATTGCATTTCAGCAAGATATTATTTTTTTTTCAGTTATAAAAACTATATGCAAAGAGGATCAATTCACATTTTGAAATTTGCCTAAATTTAAAGTTCACATACAATTTAAGAAGGGAAGCTTTGTAAGCAAGAACGAGATTCTTTTAAGATTTGGGATGTTTGATTGAACTCAGTAAAATGGAATATTTGAGTCAGAGGCTTTATGCAACTCTAAATGAAAAAGATTTTCCTAACTACCAGGGGATCCTGTAGCTTCCTTAGATAGTTTATCAAGTTGTACATTTCAGTGATTGAAAACATAGTGTTATAGAATAGGAAGAAATTTACCTGTGCCACACATATCAATAATGAAGTGATGGAGTGCTTCACCTTTTTATTAAAGGTGCATTGTCAATAACTCAAGAATGTTAACAATTTTTTACTAAAATTATTTTGACAAATACAAGTGGATGGTACAGAAGTAAAATACTGCAACATACTCAACATATTAATCTTGAAGTACCAATATTATTCAATATATTATTTCCTTCCTTCTTCCCCCCTTCCCCTTTCTATTACCAAAATTGCTACTTGGCTGCTAAATATTAGCATTTTGATTAATACCAAGTCCCTTCTCCATGTCTAAAGATTTGTAATTTGATGCCACGTGGCAAGAGGTTTTTTGTTGTTGGAAACATAAACAGCAGTAAAAATACCAAAAACTTGTTTTATAATGCTAGCAGTATAATACAAAATGTTTTTTTTAAAGAAGATACATTTTATCACAATCCAAGGAGTCCATCTGGCAACTCAGTTACTACTAATGAAAGCGTTGATGAAACAGCTAGGAAAAATAGCTGCAGCAAACACATTTCTTTCACTGAAGGGCTTGTAGAGTATCCCATTAATATGAAGCATGTATGTAATGGGTCAGCATAGTACTGTATATGTTATTACATTAGTATATAAATATCTACATCAACAATAGAATTATTAAGGGATAGCTGAATATTTACAACATCCTAATAAAAAAATAACCCAGATGGATGGCAGTATGTATAAAATATAGCACAAAATAGACAACCCAAGTGAAATGCTGCAACTAGCAATTGTCTTAATGTAATGTTTTAAAAAAACATCATGTGCTATGACACTTGGATCCAGATAGACTGGCAAACTGCAGAAAATAATTCAAAGTCACTAATAACTGCATAAACACATACAAAATACAGCAGTAGTTTGCCACTGCCTTCTTCCAGGTTTTTTCAGTTTCTCAGTCTGTCTGTCTTCCATCCAAGTACTAACCAGATTTTTCAAGATCAGCCAAAGTGAGCTTGGTACTGAAATCTCCCACAATCAGCTGCAGAAAACTTCGCCATAAAAATGAACACTGGATAACCTGAATAGGATAGGCTGTGATGCACACATGGGGGTGACGGTGTCACCAAAAATAGGGCAGATACTTACTTGAATTAGTCTTTTTAGAATTACTCTTGTTATGCTATACCTGCTGGGTAGTCATGTATCTTGAGTACCTTGATTCTATTAAGTTAACTGTAAGGTTAAGTCTTGTGTGTTAGCAACCATCCATAGATTAAGAATTGTGGATTACAAGCTTATGTAACTGGAAAAACAATATCACATTTTATAGCAATTAAGGAAGATACTAATTATATAATACTTTGAGTCTCTCTAAGCTTGTGGAGCTAGAAGCAAAAATGCAGTCCGTATGCAAAAAGTACTAGCAAACTTGGGGTAACCGTGTTATTTCAAAAATGGAGAAAAAATCCTAAAGGGCTGCACAAAATGTCTAAAAGATAAAATGTTCCATTATACTGAAGTGAGTGATAAAACAAAACACAATTAGGCAGAAGTAGAGTGGTAAAAAATGTAAGAGTAGTAGAGAGGATAAAATTATGCCATTAACTGGGTTCTTTTCTTTTTCTTTCTTTATTCTTTACTGAGGATTGGGTTCACACACTGCACTAAGCCACAATATGATTTGCTATGTTGTACAGACCCAGATACATAGTAATCCTGTGGTTTAGCATGTATATAAAACCAGTCATTGTCTGATTCAATTTCTCACTCAAAATTCTTCCATCCAGTATTGTGAATGAAAGCTACTCATAGAGATTTTTTTTAAAAAAGTGAGATTATTTTCAGGTTTGTCTAACCCCATTTTTAAGTACAGAAGAAACATACTCCAAAGAAAGAAATGAAAACTGAGCATACTCAGTAAACACAGAATGTGAATCTAGAACGTGTTTTGCAGCTCCATGTATCACTGTTTAATAGATTATTTCACAATGGTAAACGTGTTCAATTTAAAGTGCCTATTCTGCTTTGAACATAGCCTTGAGCGTGTCTTATAAAGCAAATTGAAAAATTCCTGCATTAAAAATGTGTGTATAAGGCCTCAAGTAGATGTTTGTGGCTACTCAAGACACATATCTTTGACCAATAGATATAATGTAGCATAGCTTAGCTTAGCTTCCTATGCAAGCATCGTTTCCTAATATAATAATAATATAATAAGAAAAAAAGAAAAATTCAGCATAAAAGCTGGGCAGGCTGTAAGCTGCTAAGCCGATAGAATATTTTACTATTGCTTTCACATTTTCAAACAATAAAACATCTAAAAATATATCTCATTTACACATTAGTTAAAATAGAATATTAAAAGATGTTCCTTTTAAATAAATTAAGTAATTAAAATAATTCCGTTTTCTTGGTAAAACATTATAAAAGAATGACGTGTAAATTATTCAGTTGAAGGATATGTTTAAACTGAAATTTTCATTTGTAAATTCTTCTTTGTTCCCTTTATATATTCTCAGTTTATCAGAATTTTAAAAAGGTTAACTAGCTTAAGCTTAGGTTTTGAAAATGGTAACTCAAGCCATATTGCATTGCCCTCATCTCCAGAAACATCAAATTGTTGTCTTTGGCTTTGTTTCAGTAAGGAGATGCTTTGAAAGAATCTTTAATCCTTATCAAGTCTGCAGCACAGATATGACCAAAAGCCCTTTTGTACCATTCTGTGGTCCGGCCCCTGACAAAAAAACAACAACAACATTAGGAACTAGGTACTAAGCATTATTTTCTTTTCTTGTTTTTGTTGGCACATTTCACATCTATTGGCACAAAACCATTAATTATTTTTCTTTAAAAAATCACGTTAATTCATATTTCTGAAGCAAAAATAGATTTTAGCTACAGTGGGGCAAAAAAGTATTTAGTCAGCCACCAATTGTGCAAGTTCTCCCAC